CCTGTTCTGCATGAGTGTCTTTGGTTTCCTCGCATAGCTAAACACACACACAATGTAGCCGGTATTCGCCAAAATCCCCAATGCTGAACAATTTCCCTGCAATTCACTCGATTTGGATCACAAATAGCTGCAGCAGAAGTGTAATGAGAGAGCGCCACCTGGGGTGGGGGGGGGTTACAGGGGACATCTGCATGGCCACCGCTGGGTGACCGCTATCCAATCTGGAGTTGGGATTCCATCTCGGCAAAAGGTAACGGGCGGCGCTACGGGGAATATTCGGGAACAATCTAGAGGGTCCCAAGAGGGAGGCATATAAGCAGAGGCAGGAGAGCCTGGAGAGGACTCGGGGTCGGTGTGGGAAGCCTCGGGTCAGGACTGCATCGCCGCTCGACCTCTCCTCGCCAACGACCACGTGGCGAACCCCCCAGCGAAGCAGCATCTCCTCCGGGCACGCCGCTAGCAAGAGGCGTGAACGGGGAGAGAGAAAGACGTTTCGATCGCACCACAAGCGATCGAAAAACGTCGTGATTTGTTTTATTGTATTTCTAACTACGTGACTTTACCGAAAGAACCAAAGAGTAAAAGACACCAGTCAGGAGTCGTCGTGGAAGTCGTTTATTGCAGAAGTAACATCGCCCCCTACTGCAGAACCTGAACAGGACACTCTTGAGAAAGAGTTGAGACTCGGTGAGGCTTTGCCTCGTTAAACGAACGTGATAACAATAAAAGATCTTGGGATTTGACCCGGAGTTGTTAAAGAATCGGTTCCACGGTTTGGCATTGCTGTGTAATGGGGTGCCACAGTGGCGAGATGTTAACTATCTCGCCTAGTATACAGGAGTTTGTACGTTCGATCCCTGACGCCTGTATACCTGAATTTTGCATCTCTCCGTGGTCGCGTGGATTGTTTTTTCTCCGGGTCATCCCGGTTTCCCCCTCTAGAATGTATAATCGACGTCACGCGTTTAGAAAATTTGGCTGCTCTAAATTTCTGCATGATAAGCCACTTCGTTGCGCTATCATTTGTGGCAGTCAGGTCGCTTCTGAAAACGAGCTACATAGCTCAGCGGGCCTTACCTGGTAAAATGAAAAATAAGTTTAGTTTTATAGTTGTTAATTTGAGCATTACTGATGAGTCTGTTAAAAATGCAGCTTGCGTGGTTTGCTTATTTGTTTTGTAAATGTTCTGTACTTTACGTTTGAAATGCCTTATTTTAAACGTATAAGGGGAAGATCAATAAATTGAACTTTGTGAAGGCCAAATAAAAATCTCGAAAACAACACTTTCCCCATCAGTCTGTTAAGCCTATAAGGAGGATCTTTGTGTATGGGGAACCCGGCAAACCGAGTTAGATTCCCACCACGGCCAACATTGGTTACGAATATTTGAACCGGTCCTGGACGTCCGCAAGGTCGACTCAGCCTCAAATAAGTACCTGGTGCGGTGTGTAAATATCAGTACTGGTGGGGAGACAAAGGCGGCCGTGTAGGAGGCCTTCATAGTTGATGCCCCCGAACTCCACTTTACTTGCCCCCAAATAGCCTCTGGGGCGGGCTACATGGCCGATTATTGGGCTTGAGCCTTACTGGCAGTAACACGTGCGCGCTCAGATGTTAAAACACCAAATAGACCACCTCTTGCAAGGCATCTTGTTTCAATATTTTTGATACTGCACTGGCAATAAAAAGGTCCTGTAGATAATTGAGGTATCTTTGTTTGTGCTTTGTTACGGGTGTGTGAGTTGCACGTGGTTTAGTTTATGTACTGGAATGCTCCCCGGGGGATTTGGAATTGTGGCAGGGTAAACAATCACCCCTTTAACCGTAGTTCTTTGTTAAATCAGTGCAAGGTGGAGGTGTTTACCAGCAGCCCCTTGCACGCACTCGGTTGAGTGTCATAAAACAAATATTCCCCCCCCCCCCCCCGATAACCTTAACGGCTATAGATGGTGTAGGTGGCAAGCACATTTCCACGTGTTAAGCTACTTCGTTGATCTATTATTTGTGGCCAGGTCGCTTCTATAAGAGAGCTATATAACTCAGGCCTTACCTGGTCAAATAAAAAAAAGTTAATCGTTTGTGTTAATTACAGTTAATTATAAATATTATCAGACAACCCCCCTCCTTCACCTATCTGTGAATCCACATGGAATATTAAAATATGTTTTACACATCCCATTAGCCATACGACATCCTGGGAGGGTATAATTTCAGTAGAGCCATACGGCATGCTTTGTCTTCTCACCATTTATAATGTTTACACACCGCACCAGGTACTCGTTTGAGGCTGAGCTGACCTTGGGGAGGCTCAGGACCGGTTCAGATAATCTTCCCCTGTGGTTGACCGTGAGCGAGAATCGAATTGGAGTAAACTACTGTTATTGTACCAGATAAAGGCCCAGTGAGCTTTGCAGCTTTTTTTCCAGACGCGACCAGGCCACAAATGACAGCTCAACGCCAAGTGGCTTATCATCACGTGGATTTATAGCAGCCAAATACGCTAAACGCACGATTCTAAATGTGGAGGGGGAAAACCCGGAGGACCTGGAGAAAAATCCACGCGACCACGGGGAGAGAGACACCACAAAACTCCAAATATACACCAGCAAGCGTCAGGGTCGGGATCGAAACCACGACCTCCTGTATACCAGGCGAGGGAGTGAACATCTCCTAGCTTCCGGGTGCGTACCGCATCGCGCTAACCACTGCGCCACCGCTCCCCACACCAAAGACAAAGATCCCCCCTTACAGCCTTGTCTCTCCGGTAGCAATGTTTACATATCGCACAACGGTACTCATTTGAGGCTGAGTCGATCTAGGGGAGGCCCAATACCGCGGCGCTTGTGCCAGGTTAGGTGCACTTTGGGGCCACGTGAAGTGTCGAAGGCTCGCTGACAGGAGGAGGTCTGGGGACAGACCCAGCAGGTGCCATGGGTTGGCTGACTGAGATTACCTGTAGATGTGTAACGGTGTTATTGGGTGGATGTACACCGTCTCCGGGTGGTACCCACTACTTACCAATAGGGGGCAGTCAACGGGCTGAGCCGGTACCAGGGGACAACAGTCAGCCGGGGAAACGGATCCTGGAACGAAGACCCCAACCCCCAGGGTAGGGGGCTGTGGGGGGATGATGTCACCCTTCCAGAACCTGGTGGAAGGTTCTGGAAGGGAGGCGTGGCAAGGGCGGAGCAAGCCACAGAGCAGGATAAAAGGCCGGGCCTCGGGAGGGTCCGGGCAGTGTTGCCCAGCACAAGAGAAGAGCCGGTTGAAGACGGAAGACCAGCCAGCCAGGACCCTGGGGCTCACCTGACCCGCTGTTCTTGTCAGGGCCGGGTCCGTATGGCCAGTGGTCGAGACCTGTACCTTGGCTGGGTCAGGTCAGACTAGCCTCCCCTAGGACCCTCTTAGCTGGAGGATCCCGAGACCCTAGCCCCAGGGATAGGGCGAGCCAGTTCGGAGGCATAGCTCCTCGGGCAGCAGGTGAAGGAGCCGTTACCCCTTCAAGTGTTCGGCTGCATTGTGCTGTAATAGCCCCCTCTGTAATTAACAGCGTTGCCTCGACCGATCCGTCTACGCCGTCTTAAAGAACCCACTACAGATGCACCACCAGCTGTACCCCCTACTGTGCCAGCTTGCTGTATTTTATCCGCGCGGCGCTCCGCTCGTTGTTGTGAGCGGTCGCTACTCTGCCCTTCGTTGTTGCTGGAGGGCGACTGCCGACAACTGCTCCACACCACAAAGATTCCCCGTGTAGCCTTAACCGATTGTTGGGGCAAGTGCTGTTAGCGAGCACCTATAAAGGCCGAAACGGCGCACGAGGGGGTGAGTGGCCAGCACCACGCTCGGCCGCCTTTGTCTCCCCAGTCCCAATGCTTTTTTAGACACCGCACCAGGGGAGGCCCTGGACCAGTTCAGATGATTGACACCGGTGTTGGCCGTGAGCGGGAATCGAACTCGAGTGGCCGGGTTCATAGCGCAACGCAGCGCTAACCACTACACCACCGCTCCCCACACGCACACACACCTACACACACACCTACACACACACAACCACCACGCACACACACACCTACACACACACAACCACCACGCACACACACACCTACACACACACAACCACCACGCACACCACCGGCCGCCACCAAGGCCGTAGCCACGGAGTCAACATTGGGGGGGACCAAATCTTCCAGGGGGTCTGGGGGTCGCCCCCCCCCCCCCCCCCCCCCAGAAAAAAATATCAAAATTTTAAAACTAATTTCCTGCCATTTCCTGCTCAAAATATTTTTTAAAACACATGGGACGGACTTTTTTTTTATTTTCTACAATAATATCTAAGTGTATTGTATTACATTGCTGTTTTTTTTCTTTTTCACCTTTTCTTGTTTCATTGTATGTAATTGCAGAGATTAGGAATTAATAAAGTATAACCATAACCACAATCAAATAAACAGGAATCAATTTTCTAGCAATATATTGGGGGGGGGGCATTTTTGTTCATATGTGAATATTTCGGGGGAATGTGTCTAAGACCGTAATTATAATACAATTATAATATATTTTGGGGGGGGGACACATCCACCCCGACCCCCCAAAATATATTATAATTACGGCCTTAGTTGACACAGAGAGCGGTGTTCTTCCACGTGTGGTTATTTGGTGGCTGGGTGGTGGCATTTTCTGTGGCAAAGTCTCAGAATCCCAGGGCCCCTTTTGCCCATCACCGTGGTAACGATCGCATTGACACAACCCGGTCGATTCGCACGCTCGATTCCGACGTAGTCGGAATCGATTCTATTTGTTTCGACGATCGTATGATCCAGAAACGGGTGCCGTCGATTCCCAAGTTAGTCGAAAAAGTTGAAGTCGAGGATCGATTCGCGTGAATAACTCAGGGCCACTATCCATTTGTAAAGGGGTAGGGAGGGTGAATTCGAACAGCAGTGTTATGGATAACAACCCGATCATTTGCAAGACATCAATTTGCACTTATACAAACGAGTATCGTCTTCAAACGCGTGACTGTATGATCGAATCGAAGAATCAATTTGGTATCGAGGAATCGCGAAAACTGCGGCGTGAAGAGGAGTGACGTCACATCCGGGTCAACGGCGCGGGAGTTGCACGCGGCAAGTGCGCATCGCCTCCTCACCTCTTCGCCTGCCTCACCTCATCATCTCCTCACCTCATCATCTCCTCACCTCGCCTCGTCGCCTGCCTCACCTCCTTACCTCGTCGTCGTCGCCTGCCTGACCTCGCCTACTCGTTTCGTCGCCTCACCGCAAGCTCTCTCACCTCGCCTCCTGCTCATCCACGCTTTCCACATCACCACGCCTCACCGCAATCCCCCTCACCTCAACCTCGCACGCTCCCCACCAGTCCTCACCGTAACCTCCTCCTCACCCTTCGCCACTCTCAACATCCACCACACACCCTCACCAGCCTCCTCCTCCCCTAGAGCCACGTGAACCTCGCAGCTGTCTTCGCCATGGCGGCTGTCTTCCTGGGCGAGGTGCAGGGCGCGGTGGTCTCCGTGCTCGTCACGAGCTCCCTCTCCTCCTTCCCCAGCGAGAAGAGATTCTGCCGAGACATCACCGTGGCGCAGCTCAAGGTGCGCGGCGTGTGTGTGTGCTACTGCTGCGTGTGTGCTGCGGTGTTGCGTGGGTTGCTACTGGGCAGTAGTTGGAGGCAGTCGCCCTCCAGCAACAACGGAGGGCGGAGGAGCGACGTTCGCAACAACGAGGAGAACGCCCGGGCGGATAACACATTGTCCTGCGGAGGGAGCTGGTAGGAACGTTGGGTTGCTCGGTCAATGGCCAGGGTCAACGGCGGCGTGGTGTATTCCGCAAATATGGCCGACTGTGAGGTCGGGCACAAGCCGGCGTGAGTAGGTTAAACGTTGAGTTTTATAAGGGCACCACGGGGTGACCAGCCCCACCCCACCCAGCCCCACCCCACCCACCCCCTACCCACCCCCTACCCAGCCCCACCCTCCCCACCCAGCCCCTCCCTGCACGACGGACACAATACTCCTGTGGGCTGGTGTAACCAGGAGGTTCCTACCAGTAAAATACAGCAAGTTGGCACAGTGGGGGGTACAGCTGGTGGTGCATCTGTCGGTCATCTCAGTCAGCCAACCCATGGCACCTGCTGGGTCTATCCCGAGATATCCTCTTGTCAGCTGAGCCGTCAACACTTCACGTGGCCTCAAAGTGCACCTGGCCTGGCACAGGCGCCGTGCTGACATTACCGGGTATTGGTGTGCTGGTGGTGTTTGGAGGTATGACTTGGGGGTGTCTGGGGAGCGTGTTCGATTCCCGCTCACGGCCAACATCAATGACGGTCCTTGTCCTCTACTAGGTCGACTCGGCCTCAAATGAGTACCTGGTTCGGTGTGTAACCATCGCCACTGGGGAGACAAAGGCGTCCGGGCGTGGTGCTGACCACCCACCCCCTCGTGTGCCGTGGCGGCCTTAATAGGTGCTCGCTCATCGCATTTGGTCCAATAGGCTGTACAGGCTACACAGGTGATCTTTATCTTTTGTCTGCGCTCAGGGGTAGCTGGAGTTGGTCACGTGAGCCTCTGCAGCATGGTGTGTGTGTGGTGTATAGATTGTGTTGTTGAGCATTAATTGATGTGCCGTGTGTATGCTCCGGTGTGTATGGCGTGCTGTTTACGATGTCGTGCTGGTGTAGGGGAAGCTGGAGATGATCACGGGGGCCCCCGCCGCGGGGATGCGCCTGCAGTTGTTTGGGCCCCATGACGAGCCCCTCCCCGAGCTCAGCGACGACGATGCCCAACTCGGATCCTACCCCGTGGACAACGGCTGCCGCATCCACGTGCGCCATAGCGCATACCAACACGGGGGTCCTAAAATTGAGGGGCGCGGAGGGTGCCTAGGGATACCATCAACGTCCTGGGATTGTCTAGGGATACCACCAGATTCTAAGGGTTCTGGGATAAGGATATGACCAGGGCCTGCAATTCGGCATTCTAGGGATACCACGAATCTCTAGGAATACTACCAGGGTCCTGGGATTCAGGGGATCTTGGGATAATAATGTTTAGTTTCGCATTGTTAAAATTGCATATTACAATCGCTAAGGAGCCACATGCTAGCTGGAAGGCAGCAGCCAGGTGGTGAGTCGGTGCCAACAATTGCCCAAGCTCTGCAGTCCTATACATTGCGATGTGTTGAGCTAATGAGTGTTTATGCATGCGTGAGGAAACCCGAGCACCCATAGAAAAAGCAGGTTGCGAAGGGGCAACACTATCCCTAACAGAAGGAACATGATATTCGTCCGCACTTTGCTTTCCTGCATTTTTGTGGTGAGCCAGAGTATGGCTTCTCAACGCCCACTGAGAGGAATGTCCCTGATACACAACCCTTGCCTCCAAAGTGCTGGATTAAAGGCCACGTGCGTAGCCACTACCGGATGCTTTGGTCCTAGGATTAGGGGGTGTCTTAAGGATTCTGGAAAATACCACCTGTACATATGGGATGCTTGTATAATACCGACACTGGCATGTGTGCACCGCGCTCTCGCTCCACACCTCCCCCACCAGGTGATGGACGTGACGGGGCAACAGAAGGGTGAGTTTGAGGACCTGTCGTCTGTGCCCAAGTACGACATGCAGGAAGACGACTACGAAAAACGCTCCGGTCAGAATCCCGTTCGCTCGCCCGTTCATTCGCTCGCCCACTCACTCCTGGACAGATTTGCACACTCGTCTCTCTCGCTCGCTCTTCACGCTCGCATGTCAACAGTCTTGCAGTCGTCACCCTCGTCACTCGCAGATTAACACCTATTTACACAGTCGATGCTTAATCACATTTTTTACTCAGGTGATGCAAAGAGGTGGTGGTGGTGAGGTTGTGTGGGACCGTGAGGTCGTGTAATTGGTTTAAGGAGATGTGATGTTAATTGGTGTGAAGAGGTAGTTTAAGAGGTAAAATGCAGTGTGGGATTTCTTTTAAGAAGTATTGTGATGGATGTGTTTGTGTGAAGAAAGTGTGATGTGATGTCACGGTCCTGTGAAGTTTGTGAAGAGGTGCAGCTGCATTAAGTTAATATTTTAACACCCACTCCCTCTCCATGTACCTGTCATCACACCTCGCACAGAGTCGGTGCGCACGTTCATGAAGCAGCGGCGGCTGGGCCGCTACGACGAGGAGATGCAGGCGCAGCGCGAGGAGGAGCGGCGCAAGCGTGAGGAAGAAGAGAAGTTGGCGGCGAGTGCCATCACGGTCGGGCAGCGGTGTGAGGTGGAAGTGGTGGGGCAGCCACACAAGCGTGGAACCGTCATGTTCGTGGGTAAGTGGCATGTAGGTTTTGGTGGTGTGTGGGTTTTGGTGTGCGAGTGTGGTGTCGTTGCCGTGTGTGGTGTCGTGTGTGGTGTCCTATGTGGTTTATGGTGGTGTTGTGTGTAATTAAAATCTGATCACGATTGTCAGCATTATTATCTTAGGTAGCAGCTGCGGTATGTTTGACACCTTTTAAAACAATGTAAATGCTATTTGCCAAACATTGCATTGCTGTAAAATAATCTGCAAATTACCAAATTGGGGTTGCACATAGCAACATTGCCCTGGACTGTAAAAACTTGGCAGGACCCTCATAAAAAGCCTTGAGACTTGGTTGCCTTCATCGCCTACCCATAATTCCACTGCTGGCATAGGTTGTAGTGTCATTGTGGTTGCTGGGTGTGGTTGGCTGTAAATGTTTGTGATTGGCTGTGAGGTGACATAACGCTCCCCCCACCCCCCCAGGTCAGGCAGACTTCAAGCCAGGGTTCTGGGTGGGGGTGAAGTATGACGAACCGTTGGGCAAGAACGACGGCAGGTGAGGCCTCGCCTGCTCATAGCACAGGGTGGTGAAGTGTGTGCAGAGTGTGCTGGTGGGTGTGGTTTGAATATAAATGTGTGGAGAAGTGCCGAGTGGTGGGCCCGGTATGTTTGGTGCAATTACTGTGGCGCGTTATGTCCTGTTTGCGTCTGCCTCTTATGTCAACTGGGCCTATAATGCATAGCAATGTCTGGTGGCTGCCTAAATAGCCCCTCGCTCACATGCTCTTCCCGTGGCTGCGTGTGCCGTGCAGTGTGGGTGGTCGCCGGTACTTTGAGTGCGAGCCGCGCTACGGCGCATTCCTCAAGCCGATGTCAATCACTGTGGGCGACTTCCCAGAGGAGGACCTGGGTCTGGACGACGAGATGTAAACACGGTTGACCGCAGCACCATCATCTATCTGCATCATCATCACCACTGGGTCTCGTGAAGGATCGAGGTGCTAACCGCGACATTTTACCATCGCGTGGAGCCGAACTGTGACCTATAGAGCTAAAGGGCGGCATCGCCACCGTCGCATCGTAAAGCAGGAATCGTCCTAATGGTCACGTCGGCGGGGCACGACGCAGTGCCTGGCTTGTTCACTCGCATGTTCGCTCAATCAACCATCCACTCGGTCACCCACGATGCTGGACTAGCAACACGGGCCCGACTATTGCCCCCGTTTACACGATTCACCCCCCCCATGAATGATTTGAACATTCCGTGTCGCACTGTGACACCGCGATTGGTGAACGTCATTCATATATGCGTCCACGCAGAAATATTTATTATAAACGCGCTTAAAAAATTACAAGTGTTTGTGTGTTTGTGCCTGTGGACTAACATGTTTAACAGATGCGGGAACGCACACAGTCCTAATCAGAGAAAAGCACTCAGACGGTGGCAAAAATGGGCAGTTATCCCCTTGCCCGGAAATGTTTAAACGGTCATTATACATTTTAAAAAACTATTCAAATGTTATTCATTCATGTAAAAAAAACACATTGCCATTATGACCACAAAATAAGCATTCACCAAGGAGAGTTTGATGCGAACTGACACAGGAACACTTGTTTTTGACACGGTACCTCTTGGCCATAACAATTTTCTCTCCCTCCAAAATGCTGAGCTTTGTGTGCCACTAACGGTTAATTAGCCATCGATATTGGAAAGCCTTGTTCCCTTTAGCTCAAATCAGTCACCCGTTGGTGTGTCGCTCTGCTGGGCTCACACTGCTCCGACATGGGGCAAAGCTGTGATTGCATCATTCCCCTCCCTGTGCTGTGAAAGCCTGAGCTGCCTTGCATTGACAAAACAAGACTTAAAATCTTCCCATGCGCTGCGGAGGTTGCATATGTGTTTACCATTGCCGGAGACGGGTACCAGCGGTGTCAAGATCGGCCTATGGAGGACATACTGAGCGGTTGGAAGCAGCCGCTCAAGTAGCAATAGCTGGCGGAGGAGACGCTCACCCTGAGTGGAGCGCCCGGTTTCTAAAACGCAGCGAGGTGGCAGCGGGCGGCACAAGTGGTGGTGCATCTTGCCAGTCTTGGGCACTCAACCGTTGTTAACACCTGTCTGTCCCATGGCCTGCTGACAAACCTTTAACACTTCACGTGGCCCCCGAAAGTGTACCTATGTAGGCTGGCACAATCGATGGAGTGACATCACCGTTGCCGAGTGACGAATGGCAGCTGTTTATATTGATCAAAGTTGTGTTGTGTGTTCTGCTGGAGCTGGAATAAACTGTTAAATCACTCTGTGTAGCTCTAACCCTACTCAAGGCCTTTTCCCATGTACGGTGACGCACCACTCATTAGCATTCCCGTAACAAAACTCATTTTGATGGCCTGCAGCATTATTTTTCGTGTCACATCTGCATGTGCCTCCCTTTCTTACACCAGTACCAGCCTCACCCACCCCATGTGACTTGCCAGGGATTCTGGGAGTCCAAAACTGGAATTAATGATCGAGTTAATTGAGAAATAAAGGAGAGGACTGTTGCTGGGGGTGCTGATACTTCTGCCGGTGGTGGTGGTTATGCTGAAGGTGTTGCTATTGGCAGTGGTGGTGGTACAGCTGCCTGTGGAGAGACACAGATCTCTGTGGGTCGCGCCAGTCAGGGTGCTGGAGCGCCGGGTGCCCGATTGGACGAGCTAAAGGCACGTGACCGGAAGAGGGGAGCGCCGGCCTTGATAGAGCAAGGGGCAGGGGCCAAGGGATAAAGGGGGAGTGTAAGGGGGACTCGGGGCTCGTTTCGGGGACCAAGCTAGAACACGCGCACATAGTGAGCAGCCTAGGAAGTTAGCCACACTTAGCAACAGAATCCGGTGTATAGTTAATTGTTTAATAAACACGTTGCCTCCTACAACAGTGTGTGCGCGCCTAAGTTGACATACACGACACCTGCATGACCGGGTGTTGAGCTGGTGTCGTGTGGATGGCACCGTCACGTGGTCCCGGTGGCGGCCGCTCCTGCCACCACCCCCCCGCCTCCCGCCGCGTGCGGCCGCCAGAAAAGGCCGCTGAGGGCGTCCTGCAGCGCACGGCGGCAGGCGAGAGCGGAAGAGTACCCGCCGCCTTGATCCAGGGATGAGGCCGAGCGCACGTGACTCAGATACCTGAGGGACACCACCAACACCGTGGGCACCATCAGCAGCAACAGCAACTGCTTATGATTCAATGCCTGCAATTACAGTTGCTTTGTGAAGATTTGTCATTTGTGAATGTAAGCACGCCAGGAAAGTCTCGCCGAGCCTGAAGACTATTCAGGAGGGTCCTGCTAAGTTTTCATAATAGGGGGGGGGCGATGATTGCTATTAGATTCCAATTGGGGGGATTTGCCGGCACACAATGGCCTACTTTTGCGAATTATGTCACTTTTACGTCCACTGTGAAGCAGACGTGTTTTTTCTGATTATTACACCCGCTGTATTCACCAAGGTGGCCACTAGATTAAAGCCGTGAATCGTGGATCTCTGCAATAGACCATGTCCACCACTATCGGCAATGCCAAAAGCATGATCAACAGCAGCAGCGTAAACAAAATTACCAACACCAGCATCCGCAACATCGTTATCGGCACTAGCCATTGGCATCGGCATTACCACCAGCATCATTACCACCAGCATCACCATTGCTATAAATCACTGCCATCATCAGCCTGGCACTACCACAGCATGGGTTGTGGTGGTTGTGGTTACCCGGCGGGCCCCAGCTCCTCCTCGGTGGGGGCACGGGGCCCCCACGTAGTGAGCTCCACCGCACGGTAGGAGAAGAGCGACTCCTGGGAGCACATAACAGGCTCCAGCAGCACCTTCTACGCACAGCAAACATCACCGACACCGTCATGACAATCGCGCACCGTCACCATCTATATCATCACCAACATTTGTTTTTTTTTGTCATTTTGGTGACCCAGGTTGCTTTTGCAAATGAGACTCAACCTGGTCTGTTGAGTTCTGGTTATAACCATCATTGCTAACATCACGCACCAAAACGTCACATTCTGGAGTGCTGGTGAGTGTCGCACCATCTTAATGCCGGTGGAGAAGGTGGAGGGGGGAGCGGGTGGGTGGAGGCGACGGAGTTCGCGCTCGCCCTGAGCCACGCGCTCACGGTGCTCGGCCAAGAGCAAGCGTGCTGGCAGCTGGGACGCCTCCTACACACGCACGGGTACACACACACAGCTATACATCAATACATACACAGCGATACATCAATACATACACAGTGATACATAACATACACAGCTATACATCAATAAATACACAGTGATACATCAATACACACACACAGCTATACATCAACACATATACAGCGATACATCAATACATACACATACGGCTGGGACACCCCCTACACACATGCACACAGCTGGGACGCCTCCTACGTGAAGATGGGCACACATACACGATGCGGGAGCCACGGTGAGACCTGACGAGGCTTGTTGAATCTCGGCAAGTCTCAGTAAGGTCCCTCGAGTCTGACATTTGGCGAGGCTCCGCGAACTCACCATCTGGTCCAGCAAGGCCTGCGCGGCGCGTTTGCGCGCATCGCGCTGCTGCTGCTCCCCTTGCAGCAGCTCAAGGCGCCGGCGCTCCGACTCATCGAGCTCCCACTGGAGCCCCACGCACAGCTCCTCTTGCTCCCGGCTCTAGAGCACCACAGCACACAACAGCCGCCACCATTCGCCACTAAGTGTCATGACGTCACCACAATGCTTGTGCGAGGTACGCTTTGAAGCCATCGCGTAGATTGTCGAAGGCTCACTGGCAGGTCGCGGGACAAACCCAGGTGTTGTGGATTAACTGGCTAATAGATGCATCATCTGTGCTCCCCACTGTGCAAACTGTAGAGGGCAACAGCTTCCAACTACCCATTAACGTCCTTTACGAGCCTCCTCCACAAAAGCCGATCTTGACACCGCCGGTGCCAGTTATGGGCAAGTCAAATCAGCTCCACATGCGCCTGTACCACACCAGTTTATCTCTTCCCCTGCCCATGCCGCGCTCGGCTAACCCCCTCTATCCAGCTAAACAGAATCTACTTCGTGCAGATCTTCCTTTAAAGGGGTCCACATTTCTGCAAGCATAGAAAGTGGGGGGGCGCGCACACACACACACCACGTACCGTCTTGACGCGGTTTTTCTGGATAATGTCACGGTTGTCGCGCTGGTATTGCTCCATGCACCGCTTTGTGGTTTCCACATCCACGTTGTTGGTCAGGTTAAACACTTGGGGAGAGGGGCAGGGGGTCAATGTTGGTTAAACTTTGTAGCAAACAAGGTGGGGTTGGTGGTGTGGATGTGTTGGGTTGATGACATGCGTGTGGTTGGTGATCTGTGGTTTGGTGGAGTGCGGTTGGTAATGCAGTGTTGGTTAAATGGTGAAATGTCTTTGGTGATGTAGGCGAGGTTGGGAGCGTATCAGCGGTACCGATATCTTCTATCTCCTCCAGGTAGTCGTTGTACTCGCGGAGCGATGGGAAATCCTCCTCCCGCTTGTTGTACCTGGCGGGTAAATGCATGTGTGGTTGGCAGTACAGCAAGTGGGTTTGCGACCCTATCTGTGTGGAGCTGGTGATTGTCACCCCCTCTGCATGGTGGGTTTTCTGCTATCTCCATCCCTCCTGTCTATGTATCTGTCTCCATGTCTCTCTTTGTCTCCCGATGTGCCTGCGTCTCTGTCTCTCTGCGTCTCCCCGTGTCTACGTCTCCCTGTGTCCGTGTCTCTTTGTGTGTCCATGTCTGTCTCCCGATGTCTCCGCGTCAGTGTCTCTCTGCATCTTCGTGTCTTTGTCTCCGGGATCTCACGTCTTGAGTACACGCTTGCGGATCTCCACCTCCTTGTCGACGAGGGCATCCTCGAAGAGCTGCACGCGGAACGCGCTCTTGCGCAGAGGCGTCGCACAATCGGGGCACGAGCCGGCACCCCCGCGCGAACAGCATCTCCACACAGCTCTCACACCTACATACAGCAGCACATACATACACACACAGCACCATCCACTCAGCTCTCACACCTACATACAGCAGCACATACATACACACACATACAGCACCATCCACTCAGCTCTCACACATACACATAGCACTATCCACTCAGATCTCACACCTACATACAGCAGCACATACATACACATAGCATTTTCACACAGTTCTCACACCTACACAGCAGCACATACACAGCACCATCCACTTAGCTCTCACACCTACACAGCACACACACATAGCACCATCCACTCAGCTCTCACACCTACATACAGCAGCACATACACACACATAGCACCATCCACTCAGCTCTCACACCTACACAGCACATACACACACAGCACCATCCACTCAGCTCTCACACCTACACAGCACACACACATAGCACCATCCACTCAGCTCTCACACCTACACAGCACATACACACACAGCACCATCCACTCAGCTCTCACGCCTACACAGCACATACACACACAGCACCATCCACTCAGCTCTCACACCTACACAGCACATACACACATAGCACCATCCACTCAGCTCTTACACCTACACAGCACACACACATAGGACCATCCACTCAGCTCTCACACCTACATACAGCAGCACATACACACACATAGCACCATCCACTCAGCTCTCACACCTACACAGCACATACACACACAGCACCATCCACTCAGCTCTTACACCTACACAGCACATACACACATAGCACCATCCACTCAGCTCTCACACCTACACAGCACATACACACACACACACAGCACCATCCACTCAGCTCTCACACCTACACAGCACATACACACACAGCACCATCCACTCAGCTCTCACACCTACACAGCACACACACATAGCACCATCCACTCAGCTCTCACACCTACACAGCACATACACACACAGCACCATCCACTCAGCTCTCACACCTACACAGCACCACATACACACAGCACCATCCACTCAGCTCTCACACCTACACAGCACATACACACACATAGCACCATCCACTCAGCTCTCACACCTACACAGCACATACACACACACAGCACCATCCACTCAGCTCTCACACCTACACAGCACATACACACACATAGCACCATCCACTCAGCTCTCACACCTACACAGCACATACACACACACAGCACCATCCACTCAGCTCTCACACCTACACAGCACATACACACACATAGCACCATCCACTCAGCTCTCACACCTACACAGCACATACACACACAGCACCATCCACTCAGCTCTCACACCTACACAGCACATACACACACATAGCACCATCCACTCAGCTCTCACACCTACACAGCACATACACACATAACACCATCCACTCAGCCCTCACACCTACACAGCACACACACACACACAGCACTATCCACTCAGCTCTCACACCTACACAGCACACACACATAGCACTATCCACTCAGCTCTCACACCTACACAGCACACACACACACAGCACTATCCACTCAGCTCTCACACCTACACAGCACACACACACAGCACTATCCACTCAGCTCTCACACCTACACAGCACACACACATAGCACTATCCACTCAGCTCTCACACCTACACAGCACCACATACACACAGCACCATCCACTCAGCTCTCACACCTACACAGCACATACACACACATAGCACCATCCACTCAGCTCTCACACCTACACAGCACATACACACATAGCACCATCCACTCAGCTCTCACACCTACACAGCACATACACACACACAGCACCATCCACTCAGCTCTCACACCTACACAGCACATACACACACATAGCACCATCCACTCAGCTCTCACACCTACATACAGCAGCACATACACACACAGCACCATCCACTCAGCTCTCACACCTACACAGCACACACACACACAGCACTATCCACTCAGCTCTCACACCTACACAGCACACACACATAGCACTATCCACTCAGCTCTCACACCTACACAGCACCACATACACACAGCACCATCCACTCAGCTCTCACACCTACACAGCACATACACACACATAGCACCATCCACTCAGCTCTCACACCTACACAGCACATACACACACAGCACCATCCACTCAGCTCTCACACCTACACAGCACATATATATAGCACCTTAACACAGCTGTCACACCTACACAGCAGCACACACATAGCACCATCCACTCAATTATTACTCCTATACAGCAGCACATACACACACATAGCACTTTCACATAGTTATCACACTGACACAAATGACAAAGAACCCCTGCATAGCCTTGCCAGACTGTAGGGGCAAGTGCTGTTAGCGAGCACCTATAAAGGCCAGCACGGCACACGAGGGGGTGGGTGGCCAACACCACCCCCGGCCGCCTTTGTCTCCCCAGTGGCGATGTTTAGACACCGCACCAGGTACTCATTTGAGACTGAGGGTCTGAGTGAGGCAGCGTAGGGGGTGACAATGGAGACGGGGTGTGAGTGAGGTGGTGTACGGGGAGAGAAGGTCCCGAGCAGACGTGCAGAGTCTGAGGAGACACCGGGTATGGGGCCGCTACTCACAGCGTGTGTCCGCACACGTTCACCATGAGCTTGAGCTGCGGGTTTCGGTACTTGGTGGTCTTACACCGCGGGCAGCCCTGGTCGTCCATGGTTCCACCGCAGAAACGTCCACCTCAACCACCTCCAACCACCACCAGTAGCGTGATGATAACGCGAGGCCGAGGAGACGCGGCTATGCTGCGGCCATCTTGCCCAGGGACACGACCGCGTGTGGCGTCAGTGGGGGTGGGGCGGTCTCCCTTACCAATATGGCCGCGGGCCTAGGCTACACCCAGCCAAATTTGCACGTTTTTGAGCCACATTACAGCACGGTTTTATTGAACTTTCCTCGAGTGGAATATTTGTTACGGTTTAAAAAAAGTTTAGATAGCCTATGTATTCCAACCTGCCATTGCTTGCATCTAGTTAATAATTTTGCTTCGGTCCGCCTTCAATTACTGACGTATTTAAGTGTGCATTGCACTTTATAGCAATGCTATTGTTTCAAGAGTTGTGCTTCCAGCAATTAGTTTGTTTTAGTGAACGTGTTTCCTAACTGTTTGTCTTGCTAGTATTTATCTAAAGCTCAACTTTGCAGTCTTCTCTCTTTTCAAGTTAATCAGTAATTTACTGTACACTATATTTCAATTGGATGTGTCGGATTCATAAATGGCAATAGCAAATCTAAGATGGTTAAATGTTTACCCATTTATACTTATGGCTTTATTTTTCCAAAGGCATTTTTTAAACAAAGATTAATGCTATAACTGCCAAGGCATAAACAAAAATGCCCAAAACGCATGTTTTTTGGGTTCGGCCACGTAATGATCTGGCCAAATTAATTTTGACTTCCTGGATCTTATTCTGAAGATGCCTGGTGCAGTTTCAAGTGGAATATTACTGGTAGGAACCTCCTGGTTACACCAGCCCACAGGGGATTATTGTGTGCGTCCGTGGGGAGGGGCTGGGTGGAGAGGGGCTGGGTGGGGAGGGGCTGGGTGGGGAGGGGCTGGGTGGGGTGGGGCTGGGTGGGGAGGGGCAGGGTGAGGCTTGGTGGGGCTGGGTGGGGAGGGGCTGGTCAGCCCGTAGTGAGTGCCCTTATAAAACTCAACATTTGACCGACTCACGCCGGCTTGTGCCCGCCCTCACAGTCGGGCATATTTGCGGAATACACCACGCCGCCGATTACCCTGGCCATTGACCGAGCAACCCAACGTTCCTACCAGCTCCCTCCGCAGGAATGCGTTTAATAGCTAGGTTTGGTTTTCACGATTGCTCTTCAGCTTACCTGTGAATACGCTGAAACAATAACCGGCACGTTAAAGGCTCGTACAATACACCACAATATATTTAATTTGGTTGTGTAGTTTTGCATGATGGTGTTGCCTTATGATGCAAATCTGTCCCACTTATAACGTGGCCTTACAAAAAAACAATGATTAATCACACAATTGACATTACTGTTATCTAACAAAAAACAACGCAAACTTTGTTGTCGTGTTACTCGTAAGACGCATCTCGACGTTTGTGCCATTTCACTAATTCAGGAATGATACACCTGGCAGTCACTTTGAATTTGCCATGGATAGGGCGAAGGGGCTACGTGGCGGACAGCAGTAAGGGGCCGTCCATAAATGACGTCACGACCCTAGGGGGGCGGGTCAGATATTTGTGACGATGTATGACGACGAGCGGGGGGGGGGAGAAATGTGACGTCACATCAAAATGCGCAACTTTAAATAAATATAGACAACACGTTCTACTTAATTAAATTGACTTTTTAATAAATGTTTTCTCCTACAACATCAGAGTGCAGCGCCACATTAAATACGCACTACAATGACAATAGTTTAAAGAGATTTGAAAGATGTTTTATTTTGGGGGGGGCAGAGCTTTGTGACGTCATATTTGAGGGGGGGTCTGACTTTTTGTGACGCCGTGTGACGAGGGGGGGGGGGGGGTCGAAAATCGTCCAAAATCGCGTGACGTCATTTATGGACGGCCCCTAAGGAGGCAGTGCAGCAAAGTACATTGTTGTACTCTACTTCTGTGTTCCCTGCCTTCACGACCATCACCCAATCACGGCGTGACGAGACCCCTCATCCAGCAGTGGATTTTGACACGAATGTTTCGCTGCGGATGAAATTTCAGTCACAGTTCCTATGATCACTGTTACATTGCTTTTATGGCTTTATTTTGGTGATTTCAAACCCTTTTTTGGTTTGACCATGTTGGTGATTTCAAAAACTTTTTTGGTTTGACCATGTTTGTTTGTTGTAATACGGAGTAAGACTGATGGCTTTAATCTAAGTTGTCTTGTGGTTGTTTTTGTTTGACTTGCATCCCACTGGGATTTTTGCACACAGCGTTGATGTACGGTGCTTTTTCTGGAAGTTTTTGCTGTTTTTTCCTGGATTTTTCTGTTTGCGCGTAGTCACTTTAAGATGTTTTCTTGTTCATGTTTTTGTTTGTTGCGGTTGCACCCGATTCAAGAGCCGAATGGCTCACAGGGCTACAGTATACCAAATACTGTAAATGAAACTGAAAACTACTGTGCTCTTCATGTCGCTCTCCCATACCAACATGGCCGCCACGCAGGCAACCAATCAGCGCGAACAGGAGGCGCGCGTTCGTCGCTAAAATCTCGCGAGACTGAGAAAATATCCTGGCGCGTCCGGGCTAACGCTAACATCTCGCGAGACTTTAGACTTTTTACTTAAAACTTTCGTGACTGCAGTAATTCATATTATTGGTTCTTTCGGTAAAGTCACGTAGATAGAAAATAACATTAAAATAACAAAAGCAAAAAAAAACCCACGACGTTTCAATCGCAACACAAGCGGTCTTCATCACGCGGAGAGAAAAATAAATGTTTGTAGCTATTTAACACACGAACGCGTCGCCACTTATCGCGAGATCTGTGGTTTGGACAGCGGCGGCGGGCGGGATAGATCCCGCTCTCGCGAGACTTGGGCGCGGGTATATAAGCGCGTGTCGCCCCGCCCCCCTTCCTCCTCGTCTGCTCGCGCCGCCGCCGCTTCGTCCGCCATGGGCCACCAGCAGATCTACTTCTCTCACCCGAGGAAGTTCGGCCAGGGCTCGCGCTCCTGGTGAGCACAACTCGCTCGCGGTTCGAGGGACCGAAGAGGGGAGAGATCCCCTTTGGTGGTTGCCTGGCTCGGGAGCGCGCAGGAGTGTGTGCAGTGCGGGCAGCGCATGCGAATAAAGCCTCCTTGGGCAAGGCCCGAGTAAGGCCTCTGGACAGTGAGAGTGGTGGTGAAAATGATTGTCGATGTTACCGAGGAATTGGAGAGGTTCTATTGGTGATTGTGAGTGGTTAATTGGTGAATGAGAGTTGATGGGTAGCGGTAGAGCGGGGTGGGCACGTGTGGAGTGGCGGTGCTGCCGGAAGGCGCGCGGGGTTGGGGCCTAGGCCCCCGTTGCACGTGGGACACGCGGTTAGTCGCAGCCCGGATCTCATCGCCGTGTACATCTTTGCTCCACTGCTGGATGAAGGCTACTTCCACGCCGTCGTGTCGTTCATTGGCGTTGTCTGACTATGGATCGCCAAGCTGGGTGGTGCGGGTTGATGAAGCGGGGTTGGGGCAACACACCGGGTGTTTGATCACTGCTAGCCGCGGCCGGGAATCGAACTTGTGTGGCCGGATTATTAGCGCAGTGCGATAATCGCTGCGCCACAGCCCCGGCTGATGTAATTGATTACCCTGGTGAGCCAAATCGTAATTTAATAATTACATTTATTAACGTGACCCAATTAACGAACCTCGTATACGAGGTTACCGCAATTATGCAAAAATCGATTCGATTAACTGCAATTATCACGATCCCACTTACTAACCCCAGTTAATGATCCGGACACCGAACGATTAATCTGATCCTTATGAGCATGTGGCTTAAAAGCCGAATTGAAGACCTGACCAAATTAAGAGTCTGGCCAGTTGCTTGGGACTCTTCCCCAAGTTCACTTTGTGATCATCAACCGACCATTTGCCCTGTTCTGAAAAATGATGTTGACCTGACCGTAATATATAACTCAGACCACAACACTTACAATATTGATACTGCTGCTTGTTGCTGGCTGCATGACGTTGAGCATTTGAACTTGTGCTCGGCAACTTAAAATAGTTACGTTGGATTTGAGTTCTCACCTGGTTAAACAAAACTAAACTACCCTCGTTGAAATTCTAACCTAATGCTAGTTTAGAGCACCATTGAGTTGGATGCCAGGAAGAGCCCCCCCCCCCCTTACGTTCATTGCATTTAGGTTCTGCATTCCCCCATGGTGCACTTTGTGGTTCCACGTTGTGCCACCGGGATTCTAACCTCACCCCCCCCCCCTTGTGCGCGTCCGACGACAGCCGCGTGTGCTCCAACCGCCACGGACTCATCCGCAAGTACGGCCTCAACATGTGCCGCCAGTGCTTCCGTCAGTACGCCAAGGACATTGGCTTCCAGAAGGTGAGGAGGCTCAACGAGCGAGGCCCGGTCCCCCGGAACAGCCGCGAGAGAGCAGCAGCCGCCGCCTTAGGCGCAGGCTGCGGCGTGGATACCGTGCAGGAGAAATTTCGAATGTGTTCGGGCGTACGTCAGCGCCACGTTGCGGCGACAAAACGTGCTAATAAATGGTGTGAAACAAGTGTACGACAGGTGCAGGAGCGGAGGTCTTGATTGTTTGATTCCTAGACTTCCACATGTAGAGAGCAGAGATTCAAACCTACAGTTTCATGTGAAGTGCCTGTTTGAATTGTGTGAACCTGGGATGTGGAGTGCAGGTTCGGATGAGTATAGAGATCTTGTTTGAGTCTAATCTGTGGTCTTGAAATTATTTTAATAAGAAGTATTGCGGTTGACAGGCTAGTGGTAACACTTGAGCCTCGCAGCAAGGAGGCGTCGGAGTTTGATTCCCAACTCTGGTGTCTTCCTATGTGGAGTTTGTATTTTCTTCCTGCTATGCATGGGTTTTCTCTGGGTTTTCTCTGGTTCCTCAAACACAATGGAACTCGTGTTGGTTAAACATCCCCCATACCTGAAAATGATACAATTGGGCTCCCACACAAAGAAACCTGGCAGGACCCTCATAGTCCTGACAATTGGGCTTTCCTCGGTTAAAAAGCCAAATAAATACAATATATGATACGCTGGAGATGCTATGCATGTGTGCACGTTCCAACATGGAATGTATGTATGTTCAACTTCTTTCGTGCTGTACATAGCCAGCTGCGCTAATCAGAGGTGGTATTTGAAGTTTTATTTGAATTGGTACTGTACCTCAGGAAATGTTTAACAATCATCTGGCAGGGCAATGTACAGCCTCGATTTATGTTTATAGAGAAGATTGGTGAGCTGGGAAAGGCTTGCCTTGGTTGGGTCATGATGATGAGAGTCGGAGAAACCGTGTTTAAAGTCAGGGGGTTCATTGGTTTAAGGTTTTGTTATGTTGGTGTTATAATTAAGTTGGGCTTTGTGGTTAAGTCAGCTTTTGTTTTGGTGGGGAATGTGTCATGGTCGTTGTATTAGGCTCGGGTTTATAGCTTGGTCATGCAACAACATCTCATGAAGCTGCACAGAAAGTAAGACCAGGCAATTGTGGCAAGAAAACGGATTTTATTATATACTTGGTCAGTCATAGGTGGAGGGGAGGAGGAGGGGACTGTCTTGAGCCTGAGCACGAACAGGGGTAGGAAGTCGAAAATGCAGATTTCTGGGGAAAGGGAGTTCCAGACCATGGGGGCAGCAGTGGAGGGGAGAGTCCTCCCACTGGACAACTTGACCCAGAGCTTCAACAGAAGCCTCTTGCTGGAGTGGATGGTGCTTGGGGTGGGGGGGGAGTAGGGACATCAGAGGGGACAGGTAGGCCGGGGCCAGTCCATGGGAAGATCTTGCAGATAGCGAGTTCGATCTTAGAATTTATCTGGAATCAGAATATGGCGGTTACGCGGTCACGTTTATGGCGCAGTTGAGGAATCTGGCAGCAATCATTTTGGATCGTCTTGAGTTTGGTGATAAGGGACATTGGGAGGTTGAGGTATTTTGGGTGGTACAGGATGTGAGGATGCCATAGAGGAGAAAGTTGCAATCGTCAGGATGTCACGAAGGCATGGATGAGTCTCGCCTACAGCCTCTGGTAAGAAACTGATGGATGTGGGAAATGTTGCACAGTTGGAAATAAGGGCCTGCAGAGATAAGTGGGGAGAGCCGAAGATCAGTAGCAACTCCCAAGGTGCCTCCGTCAGTGCGAGATTTCAGTTTAGGAAGCGCACACTCAAACCGGAGGCTTTATAGGAATTGATTTATTCATGACGAGGAGTGATTCCGTTTTGGAATTTTGTACCGATTTCAAATGTGCTTATCCTCGAGGTTTTTAAATAGCGGTAATAATGATGCGCTTCAGGAAGTCTTGTGATATGACGCGTAGCAATGAAATGGCCTTGGCCGGCTAGGCTCGTTCTGTTGGCGCTGTTTATATTGCCAAGTGAGGCATTTCTTGGATCAATTTTGCTGGTTTTCTGCAGGCGTTGCTATTTGTCATTGATAGGAACATTACCTTACAATAAAAGTTGTTTACATGTCATCTTTTTGACAGTTATTGTGCACCCCCACACACTGTTAGAGATGCAGCTAATGCATGGATGCTGTTCGCATTAAAAACACTTAAAAGTCATGGCTAATACTCTGAGAGAGGGCTTGTGATATCACTGCATCGATGTTGTGTAACACCCATGTGAGTTGTGTATAAATGTCACGTGTTACGATTTGCTTGACTGCAACTCTCCTTCTGTCTCTCCCCCTTCTCCCCTCCTCGCAGCTCGATTAAAGCCGGCGGCGGATGAGAGGGATGGAAGGCGTCGTTGCCTCCACTCTGAGCTCGCGTCGCCACCGCTGTTATTTTGGGTTTTAAATAAACGATGTGAGATGAGGAGCAGCTTCCCGAGTGTCGTGTGCGGCTGTGTCTCGGGTGATGTGTGACGATGCTTCACCTCGTTGGGAGGCGTGGGACCCCGGCCATGGCGAGCGAGGGAATATATACCGTGTTTCGCATCTCCCCCCCCCCCCTTGCTTGTTTGACGACCTTCAGCTTGGTGGTGAACTGCTGTGATTCAAGGATTGGTGGATCGTGCAGAGATGTGGAACTCCCAAACCTGGGCCTTGTGACCAAAGGAAGGCAGTCTAGCATATGGGTTTGTCAACTCATCTATATCGCGGACCATTAAGTGTTATCCCCTCGTATGTGATCGGGTATGTTTTCTCTTATCTGGTTTCCTTCAAATAAAACAATTCTTAAAATAATTAATTGGCCAAAAATTCCGATGGGAGGAGCCTCCAGAAAAAGTTATAGCCACTTCAGGTGCTGCAATGTCCCACTTTTAATGAAAAATATACCATACATAGAGGATAGCACTTTAACACAGATGCACACAGGGAGGTTCAGCACCACAGTTGTACTGTCATCTGCTTGGCCTTCTCATAGGCCAGTGGTGGATTTAGGAGTTTCATAAATCTTTACGTGATCCACCAACTCTTCTCTCAAGCACTGGATCGCGGGTATGGGCTTCCACATGCCACTGCAGTATCTGCAATGTATGTGTATTGAACTTTCGCACCATACGTAGCTAACTTTGCTAAATCGGAAGTGTGGGAAGAATTGTATTCGAGTGGAGTGGCCCGGGGTTGTGGAGATGCCTTCAAGATCATTCACCCTCGTGTCTCCGCAGCCTTGCACACATCACGCGCACGAGTTGAGCATCGCACGTTTGTATCAACTTCATGCAGACTAAATGCCCACCATTGGATAGGTTATTTCATTTGCTTGTCGACTTGTACAGCCATCTGTTCCACCTTGCAGCCCAGCATATAGCGCTCGCCGTTCCCTGGCAGACTCCCATTGCAGGCACTCGCCTTGCTTGACTTTATCTCCAAGTGTTGGATACGATCGTTACGCTGAATTGGCTACTACAGGGGTGAGAAACCGATGACCGGTGACTTAATTTCACGCAGCCTGCAACACGCAGGTATAGGAGGCCGACCACTTCAAAACTCCCCACATTTCTCCACGAGTGCAATTGGGTCCTGGAGGGAAAAAATATTTTCAACGACCTTGCAACAGAACACTTAATTTTCACACGCTCAAGTATTTTCTGTCAATTGCTGCAAGGGCCTTTTGTAATGACAAGTCATTGGTGGTCTTGTGAATGTGTAGTTGCCTGCCCGAAGGTATTTAAAATCCCATTCGGTTCTCCAAGAGGGAAAAAGGCTCCGAAACTTGGCAAGACCCTCTTGACAAAAGAGTTGTCGAGGTTTTCCAGGAAAATTATGGGAGTTTATGAAAAAAAATTTTGATAAAAAACTATGCCGATTTGGTCTAAAACATACCGATAAAAAAATTCTGTACACCTGAAATGGGAACACTGATAAAACAACTTTAAAGTGTGCAAAGAAGTATGAAGAAATGCATGCTTGAGGTTACATTTCATGTGGAGAAAGGACAAATGGATTTGAAGATGCACTGGTGAAAGACGTCCTTGACGAACGAAAGGGGGCTTGGACAACACATGGCTGTTAGGCCGGTGGACAACTGGCGACCGAGCCGAATGATGACATGCCTGAGAGGTCACGCTGAGATGGAGTGTTGATACAAAGCTCGGTGTGCAAGAGTGACATGGATTGTTGCTTCCATCACAAGACCGTGAGTGATGGTGGCTAAGGAGGCCTTCATCCGGCAGTGGGTAGATCAAGGCCGATTTGTGTGGCGTCACTTGCACGATACAGCAGTGACTGAGCGGGTGGGTTCAGGGTTCTGTGGCGTCATGGCTTGGTATGATCAAGGTTGGGATGCGTTTACTTGGGATGGGTTGAATCTGGTGTGGATCAAATAATTTAACCACGTAGGCTTCCGTGACCGGTAGGATAATACGTGTTGGTTTAGCGCAAATGTAATTTCACAACTAGCAATACGGCAATCGTTGCCCCTTACTGGTGGACGTGCTTCCTCGGAAGCGAAGTGCCCAGTCCTGTGCAGCACAGCGACAGCTACCACTGGTGGTGGGGGCTGGCGAGGCTGCCCATTTAAATAAAATGTCTATCGCTTGTCGAAGTGCGCTCGAGTTTAGTTCTGGTCACGTGGGATTATGCCAGGTGGTGTCAGGGATCAGAATTTGTCAAGTGGGGGTCAGGTCAACAGGTCAGGTTAGGTTTGCTGGGGTGAGGTGGTCAGGTTAGGTCGGCTATGATGAGGTCATGGTCAGGGTTAGGTTCGCTGGGGTGAGGTGGTCAGGTTAGGTTCGCTATGGTGAGGTCAGGGTTGGGTCACGGAGGTCGGCTGCGGTGAGGTCAGGGTTAGGTCAGCTGCGGTGAGGTCAGGGTTAGGTCAGCTGCGGTGAGGTCATGGTCAGGGTGAGGTCACGGTCAGGGTGAGGTCAGCTGCGGTGAGGTCAGGGTTGGGTCAGGTGAGGTCAGGGTGAGGTCAGCTGCGGTGAGGTCAGGGTTGGGTAAGCTGCGGTGAGGTCACGGTCAGGGTGAGGTCAGCTGCGTTGAGGTCACGGTCAGGGTGAGGTCAGCTGCGTTGAGGTCTGATGAGGTTGAGGGCGCCTGGGCTCCACGTGTTGCCGGACTCTGGCTTTGAGGCTCGCTGGGTGGTGAGTGGAGGACCCGACCGGTCGCGTCATGTTAGCGCGGGGGCGTGTGAGTGAGGCACGTGTTCCCCACCTGGGTCTTCTCTGCGAGTGCGCTGCTGCTGCTACTACTACTGCTGCTACTGCTGCTGATGCTGCTATTACTGCTGCTGCTGCTGTGCGTGCACGTGAGCTCTGCCTTCAATTGAACACGCTGCATGTGTGAGTAAGCTGTGCGCGCTGTGTGTCCTATATGGCTGACCGTGAACCCATCCGCTGTATGAGTGCTATATGGGCTGTATGTTGTCTATAAAGTTGTGCATTTTGATGAGTGTATTCGTTGGCTATATGTGCTATGTATGAGCGTGCTATCTGCTATGTATGAGAGTGCTGTGCTGTTTGCTATGACTGTGCGGCTGCCATGTCTGCGATGCTTTTTTATGAATGTGCTACACTGAGTATGCTGTCTGCTGTGCTATGTATGAGTGCTATGATGCGCTGTTAATGAGTATGCTATGTATGAGTGTGATGTGCACTATGTATGCATGAATATAATACTGGTAGGAACCTGGTTACACCAGCCCACAGGGGATTATTGTGTCCGTCCGTCGTGCAGGGAGGGGCTGGGTGGGGAGTGTGGGGAGGGGTGGGGCTGGGTGGGGTGGGGCTGGGTGGGGAGTGTGGGGAGGGGTGGGGCTGGGTGGGAGGGGTGGGGCTGGGTGGGGAGGGGCTGGTCACCCCGTGGTGCCCTTATAAAACTCAACGTTTAACCTACTCACGCCGGCTTGTGCCCGCCCTCACAGTCGGGCATATTTGCGGAATACACCACGCCGCCGTTGACCCTGCAGGCCATTGACCGAGCAACCCAACGTTCCTACCAGCTCCCTCCGCAGGAATGTGTTACGTCAGCTATGTGCATGCTATGAATGAGTGTGCTGTCTGGATGCTACGCGTGGATGCCATATGGGTTGCTGCGGAAAAGTAGACATTGTATGGGAGCAGCAAGTTACAAGTGTATGCTACGAGTATGCTATGCTATGTGTGTGTATGCTGTGAATATGCTATGTGTGTGTGTGCTATGTATGCTATGCGTGTGTGTATGCTGTGTGTATGCTATGTGTGTGTATGCTGTGTGTATGCTGTGTGTATGCTATGTGTGTGTATGCTGTGTGTATGCTATGTGTGTGTATGCTGTGTGTATACTGTGTGTATGCTATGTGTGTGCTGTATGCTATGCTGTGTGTATGATGTGTATGTGCTGTGCTCCGGGTGTGCTGTGGGTGCGAGGTGCATGCTCGCTCGGCGGGCCGTGCTCCCGTGATGCCCCGCGCGCACTAGACATGGCGCCGTGCTGCCCGTACGCGGGGGGAGGCGCTCGCCTCTAGGCCTCGCGGCGCGGGGACGCGGGATCCCTGATCCCCCTCACCCCCTGAGCCCCCTGAGCCCCTCATCCCCTTACTCCTCACCCCCTCAGCCCCTCAAACCGGTTCTCCCGCTCGCTGTACTCTCTCCGATCCCCCCTCGTCAGCCGACTCCTCACCCCCGACTCACTCCTCGTCCCCTACTTCTTTCATCCACTGAGCTCCCCCCGTCCTCCTGCCCCCTCTGATCCCCTGATCCCAACCACCCTCACTACTCCATCTCCTCTCGCCGCCTGGTCCCCTCTCACTCCCTGTCACTGCTCACCACCCACCCCCCGTTCTCTTTTCCCTTCTCCCGCCCTTTACCCCCCCTACCCGGTCTCCTCCTTGATCCCTCTGCTTCTTCCTGCTCCCCATTCCACTCCCCTCGATTCCTTTAACGCGGCGACCCTCTCATAGACTGCTTGGGCTCATCTCTCTGCCCCCCAGCCCCCCACTTTACTCCCTGAGACCCCATCCCCCTCTGCCCCCCCACCACTCCCTGAGACCCCCCCTCTGCCCCCCCACCACCATCCCCCTCTGCCCCCCCCCACTCCTCTGCACCCCCCCCCCACTCCTCTGCCCCCCCCCCCCCACTCCTCTGCCCCCTCCACCACTCTCTGACCCCCTCTCTGATCTCCGGCCACGCCGTCACCAGCTGAAGGCCCCCCCCCACTCGGTCTCCCTCCTGCGTCGCCTGTGGGGCCTGCCGACTTCGCTCGCGTGAGTGCGGCATCAGCGGTGCGGTGTGGGGGGGGGGTCGGGGATTCGGCCTTCGGTTGTGCGGCGGGAGAGGCAACTATCAGGGGAGTGGAGATCAGGGATCAGAGTAGGGGGGTCAGGGATCAGAGTAGGGGGGTCAGGGATCAGAGTAGGGGGGTCCTGTGTCCGGGTATCAGGGATCGGAGTAGGGGGATCAGGGATCAGAGTAGGGGGGTCCTGTGTCCGGGTATCAGGGATCGGAGTAGGGGGATCAGGGATCAGAGTAGGGGGGTCCTGTGTCCGGGTATCAGGGATCGGAGTAGGGGGGTCAGGGATCAGAGTAGGGGGGTCCTGTGTCCGGGGATCAGGGGTCGGAGTAGGGGTATCAGGGATCGGAGTAGGGGGATCAGGGATCAGAGTAGGGGGGTCCTGTGTCCGGGGATCAGGGGTCGGAGTAGGGGGATCAGGGATCAGAGTAGGGGGGTCCTGTGTCCGGGGATCAGGGGTCGGAGTAGGAGGGGTCAATGATCCCAGTGGGGATCAGAGGCCCAGGGACTCTGTTATCAGGGACCGGCGATCATTGACCGGGGTGTAACCAGGACTGGGACAGCTTCTAACTCGTACCCACAGTCCATGGCGATGTGCTGCTGCGCTAGATGATGTGTGCCTGTTATAATGTATCGCTGTATTTAGGGTCGTTGTGATACTACTACAGTGGGGTGGGCTGGTGGATAGTACTGTAGCAGCCATAGCCGAGCTTGCTACTGCGTGTGTGCTGGGCGAGGAGATGTTCATTTTCCGGGTCTCCAACCCCGGCTGGAATGATTCTCCGGGGTGAACCCATTTGGGATCCCAATCGGGAGGGGGGAGTTTATAGTATCATGGTCACTGAGCGTGGATGACGGAGATCATAAAGACGGGGCGTGAGGGAGTCCGGGTTTGGGTTGGTGGGCAAAGTTCCCCGAAACCGATGGGTAATGAACATAGGGACCGATGTGGGTTTGAGGGATCCATCAGCGAAGTATTTTGAGAGAAGCCACAATCCCAGGATCGGGGTTGAGGTATTGGGTTGTCCGGCCAAGGAACTTTGCGGTCCATTTAATGTAATTGTAGTGCCCTAGACATTGTATATAATACACGTGGCCAACCCACCTCACAACGCTTGCCAGCATGAGGGTGAACCTAGCCTGGTACAGAAACTTCACCACTTGGCGCCGAACGGATGCTGGTTATTGCTGCTGCTGTGGTGTGTGTGTGGTTGTGTGTTTTAGTGTGAGGTGCACCTAACCTGGCACAATCGCCGTGGTGACATCACCGACACTTCGTGGCTAACAGCGGCTGGTGTGACGTGTTGGTGTGAGGCGTGGCGTGTCCGGAGTGGTGTATTGTGCGTGGTTTTTTACGAGTTGTGTGTCTCTGTGGTGCTGTCAGGTGTCGTGTATTTCACCAAGTTAATTGACAATCTTTCCATACCTATCTACCTATACTCGTGGAATTTTTCATCTGGGTACAGATACATTGGGAGGCTGCTGCTGCTGCTGCTGCTGCTCAGGTGAGCGTCTAGGGATGGCTCCCTATCGTTAAACAATTTTATTGTCCACTGCTGACCTGGTTAATTACTGCCCATTCTGAGGAGTTGGAGACTGCTTCTAAACTCCGTATTTTGGCAGAAAGAGGTGATGGGGGGGGGGGGTCTTTACCGTCAGCTGCACCAAAATGGCAGCCTAGAAACTCTGTGTCATCCACACTCCCCACCCCCTCGTCCCTCCGTGAGTAACGGTGGGGTTTTTACGGAGGGTTGACGACTTCCCGTATGTGGGCAGCGTGTTCGTGACCAGTTCCATTGCGGCAGGAGGGGGAGGTCTCGCTCAGAATTCGTCGAGCAGCAGTCCATTGGCCGCGTAAATCTGCCTTGGCCTGTTTCCTCCCCACGAAGCTCCGGCTGGATCTGTTCAGTCACAATCACACAACCCCCTCTTCTCTGTGCCTGCACAAACGCCTACAACCCACCTTGCAACATGCAAACGGCCCTGCATAGATCCGTCCTGGATGTATCCATATGGGATATTTCAGATCCCTGAGAGATCTGGACCTAGTCCCAGAATTGACCTCCGCGACAAGCGAGACTGCATGGGCTGGGTCATGTAGCCCGCATGCCCAGCCACCGCATTCCAAAAGAGCTTCCGCTTTGGCCGGATAGAGGGGGCTAAACGGTTGCTGTATGGGCTATGGAGGAGATGGGCGAATGTGGTACAAGAAAATGTTGAGCTTGATTGGACTTGCGAATCACTGGTTCCAGTGGTGTCAGCCTCTGTGGAGGAGGCCCGTGAAAGTCGCTTCTGCGCAGTTGAAAAATACTGCTGGGCAGTTGGGAGGCAAATTTGGAGGGGGGTAAAGGAGTGACCCCCTCACCAACGAGCATAGCGATGGGTGACTAAAATACAGTAAGGTGGCACGGTAGGGAGCGTAGGTGGTACAATGGCCCGATCATTCAATTCATATAACCTGTAACACCTGGATCTACCCCTGTACCTCCTAACAACGAGCCTTTGATACTTTACGTGGCCTCAAAGTGCACCGAGTTTGGCACAAGCGCCATGACATCACCACCACATCGTGGCAAATGGCAGCTAATTTGGTTGTCGGTAGTCTCTAGTGCCACCGCCATTATTAGTATTATGCACAATGTCTATATCCTGTACAGCGTGTGTATTGGGTGTGCATGGAATTTACGCTGCGTGTCTCCGTGTGTGCTGTGAACGCCGCTCAGCCCCTCAGCTCGACGCCGCGCGGCATCCCTCGGGCCACGCGCACGCCCCCCCCCCACGGCACCGGCAGCTGCGATGGCATCGGTGATGTCCGGCGCCGTCGACTGGCTGCTCCTACCCTTCGACCTGTACGTGGAGATCTTCCAGTACCTGACGGCGGGCGAGCGGGCGAGCGCTCGCGTCGCCTGCCGGGCGTTCCGCGCGCTCCTCGACCACCCGTGCCTGTGGCACGACCGCACGGTGCGCCTGCGCGAGCTGCACCGCTACGACGCTCGCACGTGGCGCACGCTCCAGGGCCGGCGCGTCAGCCGCGTCGAGCTGGCGCGCGCCGCCGCCAAGGACCTGCGCCGCCTGGCCGAGGGCCTGCCCGACGTCACGGCCGTGCGGCTCACGGGCTCGCCCCGCGCCGGCGCGCTGGCGCCGCTGGCCGCGCTGGCGAGGCTGCGCGACGTGTGGCTCGACGACTGCACGCGGCTGTCGGGCGCCGAGCTGCTGCGCGACGTGGCGCCCTTCACGGGCCGGCTGACGCACCTCACGCTGGGGAACCTCACGAGCTTCGGCGACGACGACCTACGCCAGCTGGCGCGGCTGCAGAACCTGGAGGCGCTTTCGCTGCGTCGCTGTCTCAAGAGCTCCGGCGGGTTCAGCATCTCGGGCCCTGCGCTACAGTACGTGCTGTTCCGGCTGCCCAAGCTGCGCTCGCTGGCGCTGTACGCAGCCGGGCTATCGAGCGACGGGCTCTCCCTCGCCTTCACGCCGCCCTGCCAGGACCCAGGTAGGGGGCCCGTACGGCCATTTTGCTCTCTGGGGGGGGGTGGAGTCGGTGGGGATGCAGAGGGAGAGGGTGGAGGTGGCTCGGCGGGGCACAGAAAATGCCAGCACTGAAGAGCGAATGGAGAGTGAAATGCTATGAGCTGGCGCGGCATCCCTCGGGCGACGAGCTACCATGTGGTTGACTGGTGTGGTTCAGGTCAGTGGGAATGCTGAGTGACTAACTGGTTGGTGGGTTGACTGGAGGTGGTGGTAGTAGGGTGAGTATGTGTGGCTGCCTGGTTGGCGCAAGGGCTTGAGTTGGTTGACTTCTGAGCTCGGTCACAGCTCATAACTTTCCCGGTTTTGGATTTTCATTCCTGGAGTGGTGGTGCAGTCGTTAGCGCACTGCTCTACAAACCCGGCAACCCGAGTTCGAATCCCCCTCACGGCTAACATCGGTGACGAATATTTGAACTGGTCCTGGGCCTCCCCGAGATCGACTGCTTTAAGACGAGCAGCTAATGCGTCATGTAAACATCAGCACTGGACAGAAAAGGCGGCCGGGTGTGGCGCTGGCCACCTGCGATATTAATAGGTGCTCGTTATCAGCACTTGCCCCAACAGTCTGTTGAGGCTACACGGGAGGTCTGTTCACACCACCGGGGGTTCAGGACATCAAGACCAGAAAATACAGCCGGATTTTAGCCACGACTATCGCTGGGTTTACACACGGGTAGCGGGATAAATTGTTTTGGAGGCAAGGGTTTGTGAAACTCCCAATCCCACAAGTCTCCGACTTGACCAGGAGATGGCAATACAGCAAGCGGGTTCGTGAACTCGTCTGTATCGTGAACCTTTGAGTGTGATCCCCTCGTATGCATGGTGGGTTGTCTCTGGCTACTCTGGTTTCTTCCCATACGAAACAAAACGCTCGTTATTCAAACGTTGTAATGGAGAAGAGAGTTATCATAGTAGGTTTTTACCCTTTAAACTGGTACAAAACTGACACCTTTATACAAGGCATCATGTTTGCAATAAACACAACACAAGCAGTCAAATGCAAACAAAAAGAAACAACTCTGATGATGATAATGATATGCACTGTCCTTGAAGTTGATTGGTCCACACCCGAGACAGCTTTCCTTAGAGCCTAGTCTCCATTGGTGTTGGACCAGATGACGCCAAAAGGCGTACAACTCAAAAACAGCGCACTATCAGAGTATTGAGAGCTCGGGGTAAGCATTTACACTACGAGTGTGGACCAATCAACTTCAAGGACAGTGCATATTATCATTATCAAAGTTCTTTCTTTTTGTTTGCATTTGACTGCTTGTGCTGTGGTTATTGCAAACATGATGCCTTGTATAAAGGTGTCAGTTTTGTACCAGTTTAAAGGGTAAAAACCTACTACTATATTTTGCCACTGGTAAAGGAGGTCTCATAGTGTAAATGAGAAGAGAGTTTGCCTAAAAAACTATGAATACCAGCATTCATGTAAATGAGTGTCTAAAAGGCTGGTAAATGCCATGTTTTGAGTTGGAAACCGGCCACGTGGCTCCTCTGCAGAGCGAGCGGCTCCGCGCACCACTTCCTGGGGACGTCTTCCAGTGATTATCCTTCGGAGGGATTTGCCTCCGCCGTGTCAATGTGGAATTTCTAGCACTTGTATTGCCGGAGCGTGAACGGGACGTGCGAACACCGGTGCCTCAATGCTCATTTGAGCGGGAACTCTGACTTTGGAATCTGCGTATTACAGTGAATAGCAACCATAATGTAAAGTCCCATGTCAGTTAATTTCTGGATTAGTGTCTTCCCACACCGTGTCAGTCATTTGGAGGGGGCGGGATTCTTTGGCCATACTTCACCAAGCTGGTCAATGTGGGCCGATGAAGGGGGATTCCCCGAACCTCTTTGGATATCACGCTCCACCGATATTAGCTGTTGCCTGGAATCGAGCTCAAGTCGACGGGTTCATAGTAAGGTTGTTAAAACATTGGTCTTGTGTCCATTACCAGTAACCACATTGCCTAAATTTTGGAAAACCCCGGCTCACGGTGCCACACGTACAGGAAACTCGAGACCAATGAACGTAACCTCTTAAACTGAAAAAAGAAGGGAGTTTCCACTGGTCGAATGGTCGCACACTGAACTCGCAATCCAGAGGTCACCGGTTCGTTTCCATCTCCTGGCTCGGCAGCCAAAACAATGGAATACAGCCACAGTCTGGGCAATTAGGACAACCCCACTACCATGCTTGCCTGTGCTGTGCAACATCCTCCCGCCAAACATTCGCCGCCAAGATGCTGGGCAAAGTACATGCGGCACCGGAGTTACCCCTTCGTGTCGACATTTTCAAGCCCCACCACCCATGCGCCTGAAGTCCCAACACCCAGTGTGTGCAATACAACAGTCCTAAGAGTGGACCCGGCCGGGTACGGGTAGGGTACTGGTATCGGGTACCTGATTGCGACCTCTGGGATGAAGCCATGTTGCAGGCGCGGGTGGGTTGATTCTAGGAACTTGAATTGTGAGAAGAGACAAGACGTTTGGAAATGAGTGACAAACAGTTACTCACCAGTGACTCACGGTCTACCCGTACCCGTACCCGGCCGCACCAGGGTCGCAAACGGCTACCCGTACCCGGCCGGGTACGGGTAGCCGGGTATCGGGTAGGGTATGGGTATCGGGTAACCGGTTGCGACCTCTGGAGTGGAGTGAAGAATTGAGAGCCGTGTAAGTGCCGAAAACTAGGACCTCGTAAGCGATCCATCCGTCCAGATGCCTGGCTTTGACCTTCCAAGGCGCCACTGGGTGCAGTTAAACTGCTTGCGGTGTGACCAGGGAGTGTGTTGCTGCTTCCGCACATCGATGGGGCATCCTATGTGACAGCCCCACTGTGTGAATGCGGGGAGCAGGAGACCACGGCGCACGTCGTCTTCGGCTGTGAAGTGTCTCAGGGCGGACTGGTTGCCCTGCAGGTGCTGGAGGAGGAGGCTGCAAAGTGGCCCTGTGGCTATGTGGGCTGAGGTCCACTCAAAGCACATTTATTAATATATATTGTAAATGTGTCTGGTGTTTTGACTTTGGGAAGTCGTGTGAAATAGAATTCGCTAAGTAGATAAACTGCCACCTCTTCAAAGACGTCTGGTCCACGTGGAGGATGAGACCTAATATCTTGAGCTTCCTGGAGTCGAGACTTCTAACGCCAGCAGTGTTGTGAGCATCAAGCAATTGCAGGGCTGCCCCTGCACCTTTTATAAAGATTTCCATCTTGCCGTTTGTCCATTCACATGTGCCAATCATTGAATGTTTTTGTTGAGAAACGGTTACAGGTTCTGCACTAAGACAACCGGTAATCGAGAACGGCGATTGGTTCGCTGGTTGGCGTAGTGTCGTAGCCGTACAGTGATCACTCTTAAAATAATCAGGCCTGCCTGTGACGACTTGCGCCACAGTGAATCTACTAATTATTGTCGATTTACATTTGTGCAATATATTTTATGTCTCGCGTGATGCGGTTGTTTTTAACGCCGATTTCTATTTGCTTCGTCGCTACGTTTAGTTTTATTTTATTATGTTCTGATTTTGTAGTTTCGGTGACCCAGGTCTCTCTTTGCAAACGAGACTCATCCCGGCCCCTTTTAAGTTCTCAACACGTTGAGTTCAATAGCAAAATCAACAAAAAAACAACACTATAAAGCATCGCAGCGCGCTACCCGTCGCGCCCCGCAGGATAAAAGTTTTAACGGTTGACGCTGCTGCTGCTGCCATCGCTGTTGCCGTCCCCGGCGCGGCTGCCGCCTGCTGCCAGCGTGTAACGCAGAGGGCGATCTCCCCTGCATCAAGTCGCTGGCGCTGGAGAACCTGGGGCTGACGCACTCGCTGAGCTGGCCGCTGTCGGACGAGGCGCTGGATCAGCTGGCGACCGTGCGCACGCTCCTTGTCAACTCGTGCTACCTGTTCCGGCGGAGAGACCTGCCCATCCGCGAAGTCACTGCTATCTTCCAGCGCCTACCCAATGTCGTGCACCTCGACCTGGGATGTGAGTGTGCGCGAGGTGCGCAATGTGTGTGTGTGCGCATACGAGCATGGTGATGTGAGCGTGTGTGTATGGGGGGAGCGGTGGGTGTAGCGGTTAGCACACTGCGCTACGAACCCGGCGACCCAAGTTCGATTCCCTTTCGCGACCAATACCGGTGACGATTATCTGAACTGGCCCTGGACATCCATGGGGTCGACTCAGCTTTGAATGAATACCTGGTGCGGTGTGTAAATATTGCCACTGGGGAGACAAAGGGGGCCGGGTGTGGTGCTGGCCACCCAACCCCTCATGTGCCGTGCCAGCCTTCATGGGTGCTCACAAACAGCACTTGCCCCAACAAGCACTTGCCCCAACAGTCTGCTTAGGGAGAAATTTGTCTTCGTCTTTTGATGGTGCGTGTGAGGGTAGTTGCTGTGTGTGGGAGGGAAGTGGTGTTGATGTTTGTGGCTGTAGTATGGGTGTGTCGATTCAGCCTTCATAGAGTACCTGGTGCGGAGTGTAAACACTATCACTGGGGAGACAAAGGCAGCCAGGCATAGTGCTGGTCCACACGACGCCCCTGGTAGCACCGTGCCAGTCTTCATCGGTCCTTGCTAACAGCACTTACCGCAACAGTCCGTGTAGGCTACACGGGCGATCTTTGTATTTGTACATGTGTGAGAGTTACGACGACCAGATCATCTCCATCCTGAGGTGAATTATTATTTGCCATCGTCCTAGCAGGCTCACTGAGTGGCCAGCAGATGGCCTGCGTGTACCGTATCACGTTCCCCTTGCATGTAGCGGTCTTACTGTACGTTCTGAAGGTGTGCTGTGTGTATGGGCTTGTGCTGTGTATGAGGCTGTACACATCGGACCAGGCTCCGTGTACCATACCTAGTATTGGCTAAATACCCGGGTATACACTCATGTCCTAGGGTACACATCTGTACAGGTACATGAATGGTACACAGTGTCGTTTGTGTACGATTCGTTGTCTGTGTGGTTTGGCATGTGTACCCATGTGCTGGCAGATGCCACATACTGTGCGTGTTCCGCATAGAGATGTGTGGATGCACTGCCAATGCCATACGAGTACTCTGTACTGTGTGAGTACTATGTTGGGACGCCGTGGTGGAGAGATGTTAACTCCCTCGCCTGGTATGAAGGAGCTCGTGGGTTCTATCCTGACCCTGATGCCTGCTGTATATTTGGAGTTTGCATGTCTCTCTCCCCGTGGTCGTGTGGATTTTTCTCTGGGTCTTCCGGCTTTTCCCTGCACATTTAGAAAAAAAATTTCGAGTATTTGCCTGCTATAAATTTCCACATGATAAGCCACTTCGTTGAGCTATCATTTGTGGCCAGGTCGCTTCTGAAAAAGAGCCATTTGGCTCAGTGGGCCTTACCTGGTTAAACAAAATAAAAAAATTCCTCGTTATTCATGAACTTGCTATCTGCGATTTTGGCTATCCGCGAATCGCATCTGGAACACCACATGACTACTTCATCGAGAGAGAGAGTGATGAGGTAAAGGAATGATAGAAAATATGATACGAAAAAGTGATGAGATTTATTGTTTATGTATTTATTCATAGGCAAATATCATTATTCGCAAAATTTGCTATTCACGATCATTTCCGGAACGTATCCCTCGTGAATAACGAGGGAATACCGTAGTTTAAAAAAAATTATCTTGAGTACACGGTGACAGGGTGGAATAGAGGAGGGGAGATGGTACAGGGGTGAGAGGCGGGTGGTGGGCGGGGGAGTGTGATGGAGGGTGATGAGAGAGTGAGGGAGCGGAGAGAGAAACGGGGAGAGAGAGCAGAGAGAATACAGAACAGAGCGATAACAAGAAGGAAGGGATGAAAAAAAGTTAGAGAATAGAGCAGAAGGACAAGAGATAGGGGGAGAGAATAGGGAGAATGTCAATGTAAAGAGGGGGAAGGGTGCGTTTAGTGTGGGAGAGAGAGGGGAGAGAGAGGAGAGAGATCGTACCGAGAGCTGTGATGGGGGAGAGACACGGAGTCTGTACAGGAGAGGGAAGATTGGAAAATGGGTCGATGTGAGAGATGTGGAAGATGAGGATTTAGGGCCGGGTAGAGCCGTATCTCCTCGTTAGAGATTCCCTTATCCTCCCACCATCACTGCCCCTCACCCACACGACTCACCACCACCACTCCTCACACACTCCACCACCGCTCCTTACGCACACTGCTACACCACCGCTCCACCACCACTCTGCAAATGCTCCATCAACACCGCTCCATCACCACTCCACAACCGCTCTTCATGCACACTGTTCCCACCACTGCTCCACCACCATTCCACCACCACCACTACTCCACCACCGCTCCATCACCCGTCACCTCTTCACACCAACAGTGCTCGCCGCCCACCACTGCTGACACCACACCATGAGTGAGCGTGAGCATAGCATGAGTGAGTTAGTGCTTGGTATGGAGTGAGTTTGCATAGCGGTGTGTTGGTCCAGTTAATGTCATTCTGTATTGCATCAGTGTCGTGAGAGATGGCAGCGGCTTGGGGGAGGCCCTCCAGCAGTGGATAGATCACGGCTGATGGCGATAATGATGGGTGTACTACATCTGTTATTGCCGAGCATCTCCCCGCTTGACCCCAGTGTCTGCCCTCTATTTGGTTCCTGTCTCTCCATGGCTCTGGCGTCACAGTGTATCTCTTCCATCGAGTTGTAAATGGCTTTGACAATTTCTCTCTATATTTGTTTTTTAATTAAGGCCTTAAATGGTGCAAGCTTGAATGACCATCAGTTTCCAATTAATCAATGCCTTTTCACGGTCCGCTAGAGCCAGGCATTGTGCCGTTTTTATATTCTTGTGCGTTCTCTAGAATCTGGTGGCATGTCTTGTCGGCATTGTGCACTGTATTTATATGTTGTGTACGTCTGTATGTTTGTCTTGTGCACACGTACTTTGTGTTTGGATGATGGGGCGTGGTGACGCAGTGGTTAGCGCACTGGGAACCTGGTGACCCAAGTTTGATTCCCGCTTTCGGCCAACACCCTTGACGATTATATGAGGCTGGTCCTGGGCCTCCCTCAGGTCGACTCTGCCTCAAATGAGTGCCTGGTTCAGTGTGTAAACATCAACACTGGGGAGATCAAAGTGGTTAATTGTGGTGTTGGCCACCTTGTGCGCGTTCCGGCTTTCAGCATAACAAGAAATAAGAATACAATACAGCTCGTCAGTACCAACCACAATGACAACAACAACAAAAACAACGACACGACAAAAACAACGACACAACATGCCCACCAAGCAGGATCAGCCGCGGCTGTTACCAGCTTCACCATCATCAAACTCAATCTCCTGCTTCCCCCACAGTCCACAACTCCCTCCCCACAGCAGTCTGGGCTGTCCACTCCCTGCCCCTGTGAAGGCTCAAGACCTTTCTCTCCTCCTCTGTCCATGACTCACTGCCTCTGGCAAGAATATAATTAGGTGCACTGTCTGTACAGCATCATGGCATGCGGCCGTGCGGTCTTTGTCCCCCGTGTTCCTCTAACCGCCTGTGCCCCTGTTTCCAATGCCCCCCTGTTTCCTTCTCCCCGTTCCTGTGTTTCCTTCTCCCTGCCCTCCTCTCCTCCTCTTCTCGTGTTTCTGTCTCTGCCCCCCTGTTTCCCCTGTCCCTCCGTCCCTCTCCCCTGCTCCCCACCGCGCCCCCGTGTCGCTCTCTCCCCGCACGTAGCCACGAACTGCAAGAACGCGGTGCTGGAGCACGTGCCGGCGTCGCTCCAGTCGCTGGACCTGCGCGACTGCTACAGCATCTCAGGCGCCGGGCTGCAGTTCCTGTGGATGCGCCGCGGGGCACCCTCGCTGCGGCCACCTCAACCTCTCGCTGTGCAACCGCGTGTCGCACCAGCCGCTCGCCGTGCTGCACAAGCTCTTCCCCAACCTCGAGAGCCTCGACCTCAGGGTATCAACCTCCGCATCGTCATCGTCGTCATCGTCTTCGTCATGATCTTTATCATCGGCATCATCTTCTGGTTCTTTCGGTAAAGTCACGTAGAAGGGAAGTAATAAAATAATAAAAATAAAACATATAATAATTCTCACGACGTTTCGGCCACAACGCAAGCAGCCATCCTCAGGTGAAGACCAGGTCGGCTGCTTGCGTTGTGGCCGAAACGTTCTACGTGACTTTACCGAAAGAACCAAGAAGATGAATCCCTGCAGTCACTAAATCTTTAAATCGAAAAATCGTCATCATCTTCGAAATGGTTACCGTCGTCTTGATCGCCATCGTCTCCAGAGTCGTCCGGAACACGTACAGACAGGTTGTGCGGTGGTACGGACACCTCGGTAGAAACCCACGTCACATTTACACGGGTGTTGATGTCCCGGCACGGCAGGGAGTGCAGGGGGGTGAGGGGCGTTGAGGGGGCAGCAGGGTGGGGGTGGTGGAAGAGGCAGGAGGAGGAGGAAGGGGTTGAAAAAAGGGAGAGCGCATTTCTCAGCAGCGTGGAGGTTAAGACAGCCTGACATTCACTCACAGCGCAACGTCACGAAGGGTCACGGTGGGCCGGCGTGGGGCAGGGTGGGGTGGGACACCACGGAACTGTGGGGGAGATAAAGCAGGATGGGTGGGGGGGATATTGGAGAGATTTGGGCAGAAGAGGGAGGGATAGTCATGTGATGGGGTGGGGGGCCATTGGTGGCATTGGGATAGAAGGGGAAGACATTGGGGGGAGCGGGGCTGTGAGGGAGACAAGTTGAGATGGGGGGAGAGATTTTTTGTTGGGTAATTGGGGGGGGGGAGCTACTGGGGAGATGCGGGGAGGGATACGAGAGGGATGCCGCGGCCCGTGTTCGTCATCGGGGAGAAGGGGGAGAGATGTGGGGGGCTTGTGGGGATGGTATGAGAAGGGCAGGCAGGGGGGGGGGCAGGGTGGGGTGAGGGGTGAGGGTGTCAACTGAATAGACGTTAAAGAAGGGGCGTGGTGAAGCAGGAGGACTGGGGTCCCACGTAGGAAAGGGGGGACAGAATAAAGAGTGGCGGTGGGGGGGGCTGAGATGGAGAAGGAATAGGAGGGAGGAGGGAGCTTAAGAGAGGCGGAGGAGGAGAGGGAGGAGGAGGAGGAGTGGGCCCTGTGGGGGGTGTTGCGCCGTGTTTCATCGCGGGGCTGAGCGGCCGTCCTTGGTTGCCGTGGCGACGGCCGCACCTCATGATTGAACAGATGTTGGGTCTAGGCTGAATTATGAATCACGTTGCCCACACTTTCCCCCCTCTCTCCCTCCCACTATCCCGAACTCTCCCCATCTCCTCTCCCCGCTGCCAGTGACGAATTGCTTGCACGCACGGTACACGTGCCGTACACGCACTGCACACGCGCCGTACACGCGCAGAGATGGTGACTCCACCACACCCATGCACACGCACGCAGGGAGAGCAAGCAAGAGGGAGAGATTAAGTGAGAGAGTGAGGGTGCAGGAACGAGTGAGTAATGAATTGAGAGGGCGAGCGAGTAAAAGAACGAGCGAGAGCGTGAGAGAGCTGGTGAGTAACAGAGACTGAGTGAGAAAGTGAGCGAATGAATGACAGCATTCGAATGAGCAAGTAAATGACAGGATGGGAGACCATGAGAGGGTAAAGAGAGAGCGAGCGAGAGGGCAAAAGAGAGAGAGAGAGAGCGAGAGGGTAAAGAGCGAGCGAGAGCAAAAGAGCGAGTGAGAGAGAGAGGCGAGTGAGAGCAAAAGAGCGAGTGAGAGAGAGAGCGAGTGAGCGATCTTGACCCGTGTGGCCCCGGCTGTCGAGGGGAGCCATTCTGAGTGGCCGGGCGCAGCGATCCCTCTCAATTAGACGCGGCTTGTAGCTGCTAATGCGATGAATGAATGTCACCTGCGTGGGCCGTGGGGGGGGTGGTGAGGGATGTTTGTGTGCGCGCGCGCGTGTGTCGGTGTAGGGAGCGGTAGTGTAGCAGTTTGCGCGCTACATTACAAACTAGGCGACCCGAGTTCGATTCCCGCTCACGGCCAAAACCAGTGACGATTATCTGAACCGGTCCCTGGGCTTCCCTAGGCCAGGGGTGGGGAACGTCCGGCCCGCGGGCCGTATAAGGCCCGCAAAATCATTTGGTTTGGCCCTGCCAACGGCAACCGCAGGCGGGGCTCGAAATTCAATAAATCTAGGAGCAAACCTGGAAAAGCAGTTGTGAGTAGCAGCAACATCATCGATACCAGCTAACATCACACGCCTCACCAAAGAGAAGCAGTTCCAGCCATCGCATTAGGGGTGAGTTAATTAAATGTTTGACCAAATATAACGGGCTAATTTTTAAGTTGATAATTTTGTAATGGCCCGCGAATGATGTTATAAATATCCAAACGGCCCTTGGCAGAAAACAAGGTTCCCCGCCCCTGCCCTCGGCAAGGCGGTGGCAGGGCGTGGTGCTGGCACTCGCCCCCTCGTGTGCCATTCCAGCCTTCATAGGTGCTCGCTAATGGCACTTGCCCCTACAGTCTGTTAAGGTTTAATGGGGGATCTTTGTTGTGTGTCGGTGAGGAGAGAGTCGTGTGGTGGTTTCCACACCGCACTACCAGCCAAGCAACCTAAGTTTGATTCTCGTTCATAGCCAACATCAGTGACGAATACCTGTGTGTGTGTGTATGTTCATGTACTCCTATGTGTACCATGTTTGTGTATGTAAATAGCCATGCTATCCTGTGCATGTGTGTGTACCTATCCTTTGTACATGCCTTTGCTAACCTGTGATGTATACCGTACCCATGTACGTGTGGTGTAATACCATGCTAACCTGTATCTATGCTATAAACCCCCTTGTACATGAGTGTGTGTTTACCCGTATGGGTAGGCATGTTCGATTCTTGTGGGGAGCGGTAGTTTAGCGGTTTAGCGCGTTGCGCTGTGAGCCCGCGACCCGGGGTTCGATTTCCCGCTCACGGCCAACACCAGTGACAATTATCTGAACCGGTCCTGAGCCTCCCCTAGGTCGACTCTCAGCCTCAAATGAGCACCTGGTTGTGGTGTGTAAACATCGCCCTGGGGAGAAGAAAAAGACGGTCGGCGTGGTGCTGGCCACCGACCCCCTCGTGTACCGTTCCAGCCTTCATAGGTGCTCGCTAACAGCACTTGCTCATACAGTCTGTTAAGGCTGTACTGGGGATGTTTGTATTTGTGCGCTACGAACCCAGTTGCGTTCCCGCTCGCGATTCAAAACCAGTGATGATGATCTAAACCGGTCCTGGGCCTCTTCTAGATCGACTCGACCTCACATGAGTACTGGTGCGATGTTATAAATATCTCCACTGGGGAGGCAAAGGCGGCTCCGGGCGGGGTGGGTATCGACCCGCCCAATCCCTGTGTGCCGTGGCGGCCCTTAATAGCCGCTCGTAACGGCACTCTCCCCAACAGTCTGTTAAGGCTACACGTGGGGGGATCCTTGTGTGTTTGTGTCAGCTCGTGTAGGGGCGTGACAGGAGGGCGTGCTCAGCTCGCTGGCGTGGCAATGCCCCGACTGCGCATGCTGTGCCTGCGCGCGGTGCCCGACCTCCCCGACGACGCCCTGCGCCGCTTCCGCACGCTCACGCCCAACCGCGTGCTCCTCACCTGCCCCGCGAGAAGGAGTTGCAACCACCAGATGTACGGCCTGCGGGGTCGCGACCGGTCAGTTTGCCAGCCACAAGCGCGCCGCACAAGCATCGCCACACTGCACGCGAAAAGCGCCACCCTGCCGCCGCCATCGCGCCCAATGCCACCGCACACGAGCGGGACCGTCGCCACGCCACCTTGGGTCGCAGGAGCGTAAAATCGAAGACGAGCCGAGGTCAAGTTTATTGGTTATTGAGTGTATGCGTGTACCTTGCACTTCTTTCAACACCGTACGTACGGAGGTGCAGGGGAAGGGTAACTAACTAAACCACAAAAGCAGTTGTAAAAAAAAATTGTTTTCAGTCTATATTTTGAAAGTGCATAGCTCCGGGTCACTTCTTAATATTGGAAGGGAATGGTGTTCAAGATGGTCGCAGAAGCGCATCTGAAGCACGCGATACGGTGATCGGTTTTTGTTCGATAGCTAGCCAAAAGCCCGCTGCAAGAACGACCTGGCCGTTCGCTTGATGGTTGTATGCTTCTTGACGAGATCGGCAAGGTATTGTGGTTCATTTGTGGCGGGGAATTTTCTGTGTAATGAATATGACCTTATAATCTATTGTTCAGAAACCGGAAGCCAATGCAGCTCAGTGAGCACCGGCCGGATACGTTTGGATCTTGCAGTACCCGTCACGACACGTGCCAAACAATGCTGTACACCACTGCAGCTTACTATATTTTGCCAGAGACGTCCGTAGAGGAGTGAGTGCAATAATCGAGCCTTGCCGATACAATGCTACACCACCGTGTGGTCGAATGTGTCACCTCGAGCCTGATATGAAAATTGCAGGATCTATACATATTTTGCACGAGGTGATCAAATGACATGTTCTGGTCGAGTATGGTGCCGAGGCTGCGACCCACCACACCTTATCCTCCCACAATTTATTCCGCCTGAGTGCCAACCAGCAGAACCTCTTGAATTTTCTGGCTCTAAGTAGCATTTAGTTTTGTGCAAAACCGCACACGGTGCACTGCTCGCGTGCAATCTCGAGGTTACAAGGATCTCCATATCTAACTTTGACTTAAACTGCAAATGTACAATTGTGGGTTCCTTCCCTGGTGCCGATGTACAATAGCGTATCCGTTAGGTGCAGCCTCGTGCTGAATTATGTCCGGTCAGTCGTCATTTACCCAGGTATTGATAACGGGCCAATATGTCGAATCCACAATCGTTGATCAGATCCTGATGAGCGCCCGTCTTGTAGGACTATGGAAGCGTGCGTTGACCAATTCAAAGTTTTCACAGGCGAGAACGAGAGGGACCCAGGATAAGTCTCATGTGCAAGAGTGACCTAGGTATGAGATAAAGTCCGTAGGTTGTAGGATTGAGATTGCAGGATCCAGGCAGA